TCCATGGGCCAAAAGGGGCCAGGATCGGATGTGTGTGGGGGGATAAAACAGCACCTGGAGTGGGGGGGCCGGGGGAGGCGAGAGGACACGGAAAGCGGGGAGCGAGCACTGACCTGACGGTTCGGGAGTTGTCGCCGTCGGACCTGCGGAAGAGAGGGAGAGAGAGACCAGGATGAGCGACAGGCGGCCCCCCCAGACCCAAACGCCCCTTGATCCAGCCCCCTCCCCGCCAGACCCCTGCCCCACTGCTGCTGGGCACCAACGGGACAAGGGAATCATTAAAGTCGCTGGGTCTATTCTTTGCAGCTGGAACCCAGGCGTCCTGGATGGGGGGCGGAGGTGAAAGCCAGGGAGTGAGGGGAATCGCAGCTGAATCCCGACCCGCAGCCCCCAGCTACACCAGCCCTGGCCTCCCCCAGCTCCGCCAGTGCCCCTCACTCCCGACCCGCAGCCCCTGCTAGCCCAGGCCCGGCCCCCCCAGTTCTGCCTTTGCCCCTCACTCCCGACCTGCAGCCCCCACTAGCCCGGCCCTGGGCTCCCCCAGCTCTGCCGGTGCCCCACACTCCCGACCCGCAGCCCCTGCTAGCCCAGCCCTGCCCCACCCCAGCTCTGCCGGTGCCCCTCACCCCAGACTCTGTTTCGGGGGGGAGGACGGGAAGGGAGTGGGCATCAAGCGCACGTCACACAACACTGGGGACTCAGTGGTTTAGGGACAGGCCCCTGCCCCATTCCCCACCCCCCTGAGCCAGCCAGTCCCTGCCCTGGGGCCGATGGGAGCCGGTGCCCCCCAGAGGGGACAGGCCCCTGTCCCATTCCCCGCCCCCCTGAGCCAGCCAGTCCCTGCCCTGGGGCCGGGTGGGAGCCGGCGCCCCCCAGAGGGGCCAGGCCCCTGCCCCATTCCCCGCCCCCCTGAGCCAGCGCCCCCCTAGAGGGGACAGGCCCTGTGTTCCCCCCCACCCCCCGACACACGCGCACACAGTCTGCGTCCGGGGTCTGGCAGACACTCAGGGCTTTTCAATGCCAGAGAGGCCTTCAGGCAGAACCAAGCAGAGACACCAATTCATATGAGAGTAACATGGGAGGGGGGAGAGACTAGGCAAAATTAAACTGCTCATTAACTAATGAGAGAAAAGTACGGACCCAGAGAGGATACAGTGGGGAAGATTCATAGTACCCAGGAGTCCTGGCTCCCAGCCCCCCCTACTTTAACCACTAGACCCCACTCCCCTCCCAGAGCCGGGGAGAGAACCCAGGAGTCCTGGCTCCCAGTTCCCCCTGCTCTAACCACTAGCCCCCCTCCGCTCCCCGGGCCAGGGAGAGAACCCAGGAGTCCGGGCTCCCAGCCCCCCTGCTCTAACCACTAGCCCCCACTCCCCTCCCAGAGCCGGGGAGAGAACCCAGGCGTCCGGGCTCCCAACCCCCCC